ACGATGTACCTGTACAAGCGGCGATAGTAGTTGTTGTTGTTGTTGATGTTATTATTATTACTAGACATCCTAAACCATGTTTCATGTTATAACTCCATGTACCCTCATACTTCTCTCCACCATGTCTAAGGTATATACCCCAACCAGATTTAATATTACGAAACCAATTACCCGAATATACATCACCATTAGCATAGAAGTATGTACCCCATCCATGTCTAGTATTACCTTCACGAGATCCATCATAATGTTCACCCGTAGAATAGGTGTAACTAATGATGATAATAGTAGTATATTGATCAATGCAAACTTCCCCTACCTATGATAGCTAGCACAACTGATAGGCTCATCAAGTGTCTCAGTAACATCATAATTAGCACTCAGACCATACACAGAACTGTGTCGTCTGCATCTATGTAATGATAATAACCACATAAGACCGTATATTACGTTGATGGTGGTGTCCTATCGACACATGCACAACATCCCTTAAAAGCTGCCTTCAAACTCCCTCTACCTTCCTCTACATTCAGGCACTTATTGACCATGGCAGCAAACCTTAGGCAGACCCACGCCGACACGATAAGACCCGGAACTTAGCGCGCGCCAGAATAATCTATACAATCATAAGATGTGGAACTGAGCACTTAGTTTTTCTGAACTCCCATTTCGTGAATCTTTCTAATATGTTACGTTGGTTGAAGGCTGATAACGAACGATCTAAAAAGACAGAGACCTTCCGCAACATATCAGATGGACTAGAAGAGATCTATCTGGACAAGTTACTCCCTATAGAGGAATACTATGAGTAAATACTGTAGTAGTGTTGGAAACTAACATCAACATCTTCAGCTTCCACCGCTTCTATTCGGCCCCTCTAACACCAGCTGACTTCAATGCTAAACCAATGGTGATGTTAATAGGACAGTAATGGCTTCCAGCTAATCCTGGGGGATGGTGATCATTAGTATTCTACTGGAAAGACTACATTCATTAGACACCTCTTAGAAGGGACTATCCTGGTATGAGGATGGACAGAGCCTACTACTGACAAGTAATA